TAAACGTTCCCATTAAGGAGTTGAAGGGCCGGCCCCTATTATTTCTTTTGCAGATATCTCAGAAACGAAAAAGAATTTTTTGAATAGTTGTTGAACAAAAAGTGTTGTAGGGGCCAAGACGGACCGAAAGTCTTTAATCTATAATCTTTAATGATCAATATTTTGTTATAGATTACTGAAGCAAAATTGGTCGTCTTAACAATTTATTTATATCATTATATTTGAACGAAAGTCTGAGTCAAATTCTTATCACATCTTATCAAAAATCGGACGGAAGACCCACTCGTTGCTCGCAACGAGATCGCATCTAGTTATTATTATTATTATTATTATTATTCTTACCGATTTTGTGCACGCAAGTTCTCGGTAACGTCTTGGCCGATTTTCATGAAACTTTCAGATCTGATAGGTATTGATCTGAACCTTATTGGAAATTTTTTTCGTTGATGACGTCACTTTCCATCTCGAGATATTTAGGATTTTCTGATTTTCAGAGGTTCGGCTTGTCCTGGAAACTCCTCCGAAACGACTTAAGATATTGAGTCAAGATTTTCAGTGAAGGTAGGGGAAGGTTTGTAGATTTGCAGGCAGGTGTCCAAATCTCCCTAGCGCAAAAGGCGCCGAAGCTCGGTAGGGCTCAAAAAATGTCTCAGAAACATCTCACAAAATTTTACACCTTTTCTTTCATATCTTCATACATGTTAAGAATTTGTTAAAACATATAGAAGAAAAGTTGTGCAGAATGATACGACCTTTCATTTGATATCAAGAAAAAGGGGCTGACCCCTCAAATTAGGGTCTCAGAGGGGCCAAAAGTCTTTCATCGTTAAATCTTTAAGGATCAATAATTTGTAATACATTATTAAAGCAAAGATGCTTATCATAACGATTTACATCAATATATGATAAGATTCTGATCATATGTTACGTAATAAGGGGACACAAGGGGCCAGAATGCTAAATCTTTGACGTTTTATATCTCGAAAAGGGGGAATATTTTGATAAGGAATACTGAACAAAAGATGGTCAGAATAATGTTCTAAACATTATGCACCCTTTCAATTTTTGTCAGACGGCCCCATTAAGGACTTGGAGGGGTAGCCCCTGAATATTTCAATTCAGCATATCTCCACAACGATAAGAAATCTCTGAATAGTTGTTGAACAAAAAGTCTTCAAAATCACAAGACCTTTCATTTGATATCAAGAAAATGGGGCTGACCCCTTAAATTAGGGGCTCAAAGGGGCCAAAAGTCTTTCACCTATAACTCTTTAACGATCAATAATTTGTAATACATTACTGAAGCAAAGATGTTTATCTTAACAATTTACGACAATATATGATAAGATTCTGATCATATGTTACGTAATAAGGGGTCACAAGGGGCCAGAATGCTAAATCTTTGACGCTTTATATCTCGAAAATGGAGAATATTTTGATAAGCAATACTGAACAAAAGATGGTCAGAATAATGTTCTAAACAATATGCACCCTTTCAATTTTTGTCAAACGGCCCAAGTAAGGACTTGGGGGGGGGGGGGGTGGCCCCTAAATATTTCCATTAAGTATATCTCCACAACCAAAGGAAATCTCTGAATAGTTGTTGAACAAAAAGTCTTCAAAATCACAAGACCTTTCATTTGATATCAAGAAAAAGGGGCTGACCCCTCAAATTAGGGGCTCAGAGGGGCCAAAAGTCTTCAACCTATAAGTCTTTAACGAGCAATAATTTGTAATACATTACTGAAGCAAAGATGCTTATCTTAACGATTTACATTAATATATGATAAGATTCTGATCATATTTTATGTAATAAGGGGTCACAAGGGGTCAGAACACTAAATTTTTGATGTTTTATATCTCGAAAAGGGGGAATATTTTGAAAAGCAATACTGAACAAAATATGGACAGAATAATGTTCTAAACAATATGCACCCTTTCAATTTCTGTCAAACGGCCCCATTAAGGACTTGGAGGGATGGCCCCTAAATATTTCCATTCAGCATATTTCCACAACGAAAAGAAATTTCTGAATAGTTGTTGAACAAAACGTTTTCAAAATCACAAGACCTTTCAATTGATATCAAGAAAAAGGGGCTGACCCCTCAAACTAGGGGTTCAGAGGGGCCAAAAGCAATTCATCGATAGCTCTTTGATAATGTATATAAATCAAAGGATTGAAATCTAATTAGGGAAGTCTATATATATTATCTTTTAACAAAGATCATAGTCAAAATCATATCTCATCTTATCGAAAAATCGGACGGAAGACCTACTCGTTGCTCGCAACGAGATCTCATCTAGTTATTATTATTATTATTATTTTTCTTCCAACCGATTTTGTGCACGCGATTTCTCAGAAGCGGCTGGACCGATTTATACCAAACTTTCAGATGTAAAAGATATTCAATTGATCTTGATAGGTTTTTTGGTTCTTTGATGACGTCACTTCCGGTCGTGAGATATTGACGATTTTCTGATTTTCAGAGGGTCGGCTTGTCCTGGAAACTCCTCCTAAACGACTAAAGCTATTGAGTTAAGATTTTCAGTGAAGATAGAGGAAAGATTGTAGATGTGCAATTGGGCATCTATATCTTTCCAGCTGAAATGGCGTTGAAGCTCGCCTGGGCTCGAAAAATAGGCTCACAAACATCTCGCAAAATTTGACACGTTTTCTTTTATATCTTTTTACCTGTAAATATTTTGTTAAAACATGTAGTACAAAAGATGTGTAAAATGATAAGACCTTTCATTTGATATCGAGAAAAAAGGGCTGATCCCTCAAATTAGGGGCTCAGAGGGGCCAAAAGTCTTTTAAATATAACTCTTGAATGATCAATCTTTTGTAATAAATTACTGAAGCAAAAATATTCATCTTATCGATTTACAACTATATGTTTTAAAATTTTGATCATATGTTACGTAATAAGGGGCCAAAAGGGGCCAGAATGCTAAATCTTTGACGCTTTATATCTCAAAAAGGGGGAATATTTTGAAAAGCAATATTGAACAAAAGATGTTCAGAATAATGTTCTAAACGATATGCAACCTTTCAATTTTTGCAAAACGGCCCCATTAAGGACTTGAAGGGTTGGCCCCTAAATATTTCAATTCAGCATATCTCGAAAACGAAAATAGATTTCTGAATAGTTGTTGAAGAAAAAGTCTTCAAAATCACAAGATCTTTCATTTGATATCAAGAAAAAAGGGCTGACCCCTTAAATTAGGGGCTCAGAGGGGCCAAAAGTCTTTTACATATAACTCTTGAATGATCAATCTTTTGTAATCAATTACTGAAGCAAAAATGTTCATCTTATCGATTTGCAACTATATGTTTTAAAATTTTGATCATATGTTACGTAATAAGGGGCCAAAAGGGGCCAGAATGCTAAATCTTTGACGCTTTATATCTCAAAAAGGGGGAATATTTTGAAAAGCAATATTGAACAAAAGATGTTCAGAATAATGTTCTAAACGATATGCAGCCTTTCAATTTTTGCAAAACGGCCCCATTAAGGACTTGAAGGGCTGGCCCCTAAATATTTCAATTCAGCATATCTCGAAAACGAAAATAGATTTCTGAATAGTTGTTGAACAAAAAGTCTTTAAAATCACAAGATCTTTCATTTGATATCAAGAAAAAAGGGCTGATCCCTTAAATTAGGGGTTCAGAGGGGCCAAAAGTCTTTTATGTATAACTCTTGAACGATCAATATTTTATTATAAATTACTGAAGCAAAAATGTTCATCTCAACAATTTGCAACTATATGTTTTAAAATTTTGATCATATGTTACGTAATAAGGGGCCAAAAGGGGCCAGAATGCTAAATCTTTGACGCTTTATATCTCGAAAAAGGGGAATATTTTGATAAGCAATACTGAACAAAAGATGGTCAGAATAATGTTCTAAACAATATGCACCCTTTCAGTTTTTGTGAAACGGCCCCATTAAGGACTTGGGAGGGGTGGCCCCTAAATATTTTCAATCAGCATATCTCCACAAGGAAAGGAAATTTCTGAATTTTTCTTGAAAAGTCTTCAAAATCAGAAGACCTTTCAATTGATATCAAGAGAAAGGGGCTGACCCCTCAAATTAGGGGCTCTTAGGGGCCAGAAGCCTGTCATCTATAGCTCTTTGATAATGTTACATGAATCAAAAGAATGAAATCTAATTAAGGAAGTCTATATATTATTATCTTTTAACAAAGATCATAGTCAAAATCATATCTCATCTTATCAAAAATTCGGACGGAAGACCTACTCGTTGCTCGCAACGAGATCTCATCTAGTTTTGTAACTTATTCAAATTTTTTATTTTGGATAAAGGCCCCTGTCCTCATATCCAACTTTGGAAATATTCAAAAATCAGTACATTGGCTCCTGTCCTAATATCAAATCTTGTAGCTATTTCTACAAAAATCAGTGTGTAACAATGGACAAAGGCTTGTAACTATTCAAAATTATACACTGGATAAAGTCCTTTAGCCTCATATTCAACCTTCGAAATATTCAAACAATACATTGGATATACATTGGATAATGACCCTTGCCATCATATCCAACCATGTAACTATTTCTATTCAAACCACTAAATGTATAACATTGGATAAAGGCCCCTGTCCTCATATCCAAACTTGTACACATTCAGAATAAATTGTAAGTACTTTTACATCAGATAAAATTACACATTCAGTATCAGTTTGTTATTAAGCCTTCCACAATACAAGCCAATTATGAGGGGACTATACACATTCTTGCAGAATTTCTTCTCTATGCTACAATTAAAGGTACCTGATAACAATATATACACGTGAAGGCTTATTATGTACTAGTAAGTGTTCACTTTGTACTGCTTACAATCAGCTGAGAAATTTTTCCATTTTACAATGACAAAACTTGTTGTTTATTATTTTAATAAAGGAATTCGAATATATCTTCTAAAAGCTTCTGATTTCCATCTTCCTAACAGCTGAATCTGATCATCAGAAACTCCTTTTGATTTAGCCCATTATGCAGCACCAATTCTAAATGAATGACCCTTATAAATTTTAGCATCATAACCCAAGAATGTAAGAGAAATTTTCAATTGTTCATTGAACATATGGCGTGTAATAGGCGATTGATCACTAAGCATGAAAAGAGGCCCATCTTCTTCACCCCTTACATTCAAATAATCTAACATTGCTAGCACTGCACAAGTTTCCGGTTTTTCAGTGTCTGCGGTTATTTGAAATGTCACAGGTGGCTTGCCTTGATGATGCTTGAAGTTTGTTAGAGTTAATATCATTTCTTTAGGTCTGGCATTGGGAGATTTTTCCAATTGTATAGCTGTTAATGGTAGGACAGTAGAGGACTTTGTTGTGCTTGTGATTTCACCAATGCGTAAAAATGCATGAAAAGCTAGTAAAAACATTGCTTTAAACAAACATTTCTCATAAAATGAAGATGTACAAAAATGAAGGGAGTTTACCAACTTTTGTAAAATTGAAGGGGTAATAGGCATTCTGACATCTGTAGTGGACTTTAAATTTTGAAAACCCTGAATTGTTCGTTTTATCACAAAATTTTGAGTAGGGTCAACATGACCTTCCATCTTACTAAAATGTGCTAATGCAGACAAATATGTACGAACAGTTTGAGGTGCAAGACCTTTTTGATAACAATTTGATATAAACAACACTAAATGTTCTACATCAATTGGAAATGTTACTGTTCCAGGAAAATGGACTTCCAAGAATTCCTCATAAGCCAATTTTTCTCTCTGATATGAATTACGTGTCCCAACTGTAAGGGCATTGTCCAACAGGAACTGCGACACCTCTTTCAGATTTTGTATATTTCTGATGGGATCTCCAACGGAGACTTGTCCATGTGTGGAGCCAGTTCCCGGAACTGTTGAATCTGCAATCGAGACAATTTGTCTCTTAATATGTTTTTGACACCTGGCACATGTTTAGTATAAAATAGAATGTTGAATTTCAAACACTGAACAATGAGACGACGCAATAAATTCATAATAGACTGGTCCTTTGCACTTTGTTTATTAATAACATAAACAACTGCCATATTATCTGAAAAGAAACAGATTCTCTTATTAGCCATTTGATTTCCGCATAAATGAACAGCCACAACAATTGGGAAAAGTTCTTTTACAGATATATGATGTTCAGTCCATTCGGTCGTCCATTCTCCGAAAAACCATTGTTTTCCAAACACCCCTCCATGTCCTAAGCCACTTGCATCCGTATACAATTGCAGTGTTTCTGATGTTTGAAGCTTATCATCCAAAAAAAAAAATGATGAACCATTAAAATGTTCAATAAACAATGACCATGCCTCTAAATCCGCTCTTGCATCTTTTGTTATTCTTCGCTTATGGTGAGGCTTTTCTAATCCTTTGGTCAAATCAATGAGCCGGCGGAGGAATGTTCTTCCTGGTGTAACTACTGCACAGGCAAAATTTAATAGCCCAATCAATGATTGAATTTCTTGTAGAGTCATCTTTTTCTGACACTTTGCATTGAAAATTTCCTTACGTATCTTGGAAAGTTTTTTTTCTGGGAGACGTATAATCATGTTATCCGTGTCCAATTCCAATCCAAGAAATGTGATGGTGGTTGTTGGAAATACTGTTTTATCTTGTTTCATTGGAATGCCGATGTTGTCAAAAGTGTTAAGAAGTATGCATAATTGTTTCTCACATATAGAGTAGGAAGGTGGTCCTACCAACAAAAAATTTCAACATATGTACACATCCAGGAATCTTAAGTTTGTTGGTTACAATCCAATGCAATGCTGTTGAAAATTTTTCAAAAAGATTACATGCAAAACTTAATCCCATAGGAAGTGTCTTATCAAAATATATATCTTTTCCAATGGCAAACCCCAATAGTTCATGGTCAGATGGATGAATAGGAATATTTTTATAGCCATGTTCAATATCTGTTTTAGACAAATAAGCTCCCTTTCCAAATTGTTTTATCAATTTAACAGCATCATCAACAGTTTGATAAGATACATCTGAGTGTTCTCTATCAATTCCATCATTAATTGATGACCCTTCAGGAAATGAGAGGTGATGGATTACCCTATATTCCCCAGGTCTCTGCTTAGGAACCAGACCCAGTGGAGAAATCTGTAATGCTTTAAATGGAATATTATTGATATGGAAAGGGCCCCCGACCCTATTTGTGGCAACTTCTTTTTGATTTTTTTCCTGCAAAATTTCTAAGTTTTCACGAGCTGACTTGAGATTTTCACTATAACGAAAAGTTCTATTGCCATTAAATGGAATGCGAAACCCAAACTTAAACCCATCCAACAAGTACTGTAGTTTTTCCTCCTCATAACCCTCTAGCCACAAATTTAACACATCAACTTTTATCGGTGTAACCACATTATGATCTTTATTTCTTAGCCTTTGTTGCGGTCTGACTGATTTTGTTCCCGCTTGCTGGCATGAATCTAACTGGGCTTGGTTGGATTTCACTTGAGAGGGTACAGATTCTTTTGTGGTGTTGTCCTTGGCACCTAAGGCAAATATGGGGAAAGTCACAGTTTGTTCTGAGGCACTTCCCTGCGTTGTTGTTGAAACTAAAGCACGGACCTTTTTCCTGTGATCTGGCACGAAAGGGCTGCTGTTTGTTTCCTGACTGCTGAGTATAGGAGCTGTTAGTTTTTGATGATTTCTCCCAAGTCTGAATTTTGGTTTTTAAGCCAATCTGTAGCGCCTCAGAATGAAGTTCCTGGTTGATAAGCTGCCAGGGCATAAGACTTGGGCTATCCGCTCTCCACAGTCGAAATTGCTCATCATAATACAAAGCTGCCTTTTCCCCAACATCTGCGTTTAATTTCTTTACAATTGCCATGTACTTCATCATGTTGGAAGACTGGTTAGGAAATTTCTCACAATAAATTGACACAAAAATGTGGAATGCATTATCCACTGAGTGAAAGATTTCAAATAAAACTTTCTCTTTGTGCTGAAAAGTTATTTCATTGTTTGCACCTTGCACTGCTTGTAATTTTGAATATGGATTCTTGAACAGGAGAGCACCAAGTTGGATGTATTCTTCCGCCCAAATTTTAGCTTTCAATTTCTTGTCAATGCTTTGTCCTAAGGGACGACCTGAGTGTAATGGACCTGTTGCATTTAAAACATTACCTTGGGTACTGTTTGTCAAGGGTTGACTTGGCAGGGTTGCTGCACTGCTTGTACCCTGTTGACTAGGCTCTCCTTGATGGACTGTTGCTACAACATTGTTATCTGGGGGCGGTTGGCTTACATCCAAGCTGCATACGTTGGTAGGAGATCCTTGCTCTGTAGGCAGATGCGACATATCTCCCTTTAATTTCTGAGTAACCATTTCTACAATGTTTGGTACCATTGTTTGCAGCATCTGTGACATCAGATCGGAAACCTCCTTTCTAGTTGTATCATCTAGTCTTCTTCTTTTGCGTGCTGGCGGCATTTTGAGAGCTGAAATAAATATAGCTTTATTACAATACCAGTACTAACGTACTTTATGGCATTTAGCATTGATTAACATCAAAATGCAAAAAACAACTTGCAATTACCATTGCCAAGACAATTAAGTAAAATCCATAGCAGGAATAAACTTTCATCTTTTTGATAAAATTCCTTAACAGGAAAAAGAAACTTATCATCCTTAGCAGGATGAATAAGCCATTATTCATTGCAAGGTCCTTAACAGGTCTTACATGTATTTAAAAATTCCTTAGCAGGAATACAATTTCATCCTTAGCAGGATAATTCAGAGACTTCTGATTCTAAGTTCCCTAACAGGAAGTTCCTTAGCAGGAAGAAACTTTCATCCTCCGCAGGGTAAATAGAAAACAATTGATTTCAAATACATAAATTCCTTAGCAGGAATAACTTTTCATCCTAAACAGGACATAGATGGATGATTGCAAATTCCTTTACAGGATTTAAAATAATTTAAAAATTCCTTAACGGGAATCAATTTTTACAACCTAGGCAGAATAACTCAGCCTGCTTACCATAATCTTAAATAGGATATACCTGATATTTCCTTATTGTTAACATAATGAGAGAGACCGAAGACTCTGCAAATTATCTAACATGGTTAACACCACTGTCAGTACTGTCAGTACCTTAAGAGTATCCCTTCCAATTCTAGTCGTTGATTGATGCGAAAAACTTTACTGGCATGTACTGCTACTTAATCTGTAAAACATGTCTGTATGCATTAAATGTGAACGTCATACGCAATGAAATTTTTCATATCAAACACTGAGTGCAATATGTCACAACTATTATTTAAAATTTTCACAAAAGATACATATATATATAGTACTGTATATATATACAAAGCATTATGGATTAAAATCATTCATCTGCTCACTATACTAACTTCAGAATATGCAGAATGGCACCTCGAATGTTCCTATAATATTTATGGTAGCCAACAGTCTCATTTAAATGTACACCATCCTGCTTGTATATATCAGCCTGACTGTTTTTTAACCCCTTTAACTTCCAATACCTTAAATTTGAATGTTTAGACAATTCCTTCTTAAGAATTTTGTTTGCAAAACTGACAAAATTATTGTAAGTACAATCTGTTAAATATCTTGTTCTTTGAAGAAACAGTAATTGGCACACTATTATTTCAAGGGAATATCTTTTTGCAAACAAGTTTAAAAGGGCCACATATCGCAAAATGATTGAATTTACTTCATCAAATGGCACTTCTTTAGAATCTAAATCATTCCCACCCAAGTGTACAACAAGACCTTTCGGTTTATGTGTCTTTATAAAAACTTCAATTCTTTCAACATGTCGTGAATTTTTAATACATCCTCCTGGTATTCCATAACAAAGAACGGAGCAGTCTTCAATATCAAATTTTTTATCACGATAAGAAAGGAAAGTTGCTAGTCTTTTCACGTGTGAATCGCCTACAATCACAACATTGGTCATGTCGCTTCATTTATATATTGACATGTAACTGACCAATCAGCATCGAGGATATCTTTAGCACAGGCAGACAATATCTCTCAGATCCGTATTTTCACAGCGTCCATACAATTCAACCATAAATAACAGTTGTTTTGTTTGTTTGTTGTTTGTTTTTTAAATACCTACATGTATATACTATGGGTTTCCTCACGTTAATGATGCTTTTCTTGTAGCAAATTGTTGATGGTCAGTCCGCGCCAATTTTCACAATGGATGTTCACAATGCAACCCACGCTATTCGTTTTTCCGACGTTTCCGCCTTGGCTGAACACACACAATAGAAAAATTACACTGCAGTACATCTACTAACTTGCGACATAAAATGGATCCACCACTCACCGTGTTTGAAAACACTAAATAGCCAGCTTTCTACTACCGTGGAATTTCAGCTTTTGTTTACAAACTTTGACGTATTGCACTGCCACCTAACGGCAGTGTTACTCTGCAGGGAGATAACTCTCCCAAACACCAACTACAGCTCATGCCAAAAATGCACTTATTAACATAAATGTAATTTATATATATATATATATATATATATATATATATATATATATATATATATATATATATATATATATATATATATATATATATAAGATGAATAAAATCATTCAGTATTCGATAGAATGGTTCATTTTTTAACTTGTCTAAGTTTTTATAGAATTTTTTTTTTAAGTGATAGACTTCAAATTTTAACGAAATGTTTTTTTTTAATGAAAAATAAAACAATAAATTAAAATAATTACCTTGAATATGGAAGAAGAAATCCCCCATAAACTGATTTACTGTAATACTCTTGTTTCCTTTCAGTAACAAAAGGCCACTTGCGGTTGTTTCGCCTTTTACAAGGCGTGTCTCATACATTTCTGTAACATCCATGTCATATGAGTGTGCTGCTTCGAGAAAATTTCCGCTTTTATATGATCAATTACATAACACCGTTAAGAGAGTTCTGACAGCTGTGATCATTTTAATATTTTTTTTCTTAAATCATTGTTTCTCTATATTTTATTTTGATTGCAAACATTCGTCAACGTTGTAAACATCATAATTTCTTATCATAAATAATTTTTACTTGAGAAATATATACGGATTCTCATATATTCAAATATAATGCAGACTAACTCAGTCGATGAATATGCAAAGATTTTATCGGTTAATTGGTCAATTTTGTCGAAAAAAAATATATATACTCATACAATGATCAGTTGTTCGAGAATTCCTTATAAATGAGCAAATACTCTTCAAGTGTTCATGATTGTTGGTTTATGAATAAAGAAGTATCTATTGAACACTGGTACAATCTGAAGAGGGACTTAGAATAGATAATTAGTACCTAATGGGTGTATAAATTACAGAAGAGCATACATGAATACATATGCTACAACAATTTATAATTTTTATTTGATTATCAATATATTTTTACTCTTTTATAAATCAACTAAAATATATTTTAAAAATGATTTTTAATCTGTTATTAGATTTTAATTATAGTTATTATCAACGTTAGAATCTTTGATTTTCATCCTTTTTGTAATAATATTTAAGTAAATATATTCCGTTTCCCACGGTATGTTTTTCCCCATCACAATACAAATTGTGATGTAACTTTCCTTTACGCAGCAGTGTTAAGGCGTACTTCGAAGAAATCAACAGAATATAAACGTGCATAAATACATACCTTTTTAAACTGAATTATTTTTGTAAAGGTGCTATATTATCACATGACTTTAAATATTATTTGAAATAACATTGTATACCTCGCTCTATACTGAATTTGATTTGGTCACGTTATTTGACAGTCACGTGATAAATGCATATAATGTGTACTGTATGTAGGTCACAAACAAATTTCAATATCGCAAGGGCATGCCCTAGTTAAAATTAAAAATTTAAGTAATAAATTGTTTCTACATAACTTGTAGTTTATGGAAAGTGCTGCTGCTTTAAATAGAATTCGCATTTTAATAGTTTAAATTTCAAGTTATCTGGTTTATGTCGAAATATGTGTGACCTTTATCAAGTATTTTATGTATTAATTAAGTAAAGCTCTCGATTTCAGGAAAGCAGCAACACTTTTCAAGTTAAGGAATATGTTCGTTATGTATATTCAAAAAATGGTCAAGATCTATTAAGTGTATGCCCTTGCGAAAAGGCGATTTAATGAAGCACCTCGGCATGAAACATGCACACCCTGTAGACAAAAACACGGTAGAATTAATTCAATACATTCTCTCGATAGTGTTTAAATAATGACACTCAACAAACGTTTCAGATTTGTATTAATGGTCTACCTAAGATTCGCAAATAATATTCTGTTTAATAATAAAATGCATTTTTCACTGTGAAAAAATTACTTGATCCGCCTCTCAATGCACACAAAATGCGTCAAATTTTACCATGATGACGTCATGTCGACAAGTGCATTGTGATCAGTGACTTGTTTATATCTTGCTGTGTGGAATTTAACTAGCGACAAAAATGAATGCAGTGGTAAGTGTTGATGTAGTTCACTACTCTTATGCAGTTTAGAATCGCACATTATTTCATTTTCTGTTATTGTGAGGAATTGCTATATTTGTGTGATGTCACAGTAGACTTTTCCCGTATAAATTAGGCCCCGCCCCCTTTATGCAGCCTTAACAGAGCTGCGTACTGAATGAGTAAATGAATGAATGACAGGGCAAAAATAAATAAAATGAATCTGATTCATTCATTTCAAATATACATTCACTATTCATTCATGTCTACAAAAGAAGTAATCTTGATATTGGTTTGTAAACAGTGGTGATTCATCTATAGATTTTTTTTTATATTTATTTATTTATTTTTTTTTTTCGATTAAAAAAACAATTAAAGAAATATTTTTTAATGCATACTATAGAATCAAAAAGGAATTTTGTTCATTACTTATAAAGTAAGATGAAAATGAATATTTTATTTATTGTGTACGCTCCTTCATATCGCTGAGTTACTATTATACAATATGCTTAACATGCTAAGGGGGGATAGAAGTTTTAAAAATCAATTTAAAAATAAGATAACAAAATGCTTTCAAATTTATTTTAATAAAAAAAAAAGTTTATCGCCTGTAAATTGAATGTTTTAACGTATGATTGTTTTATTTCTTGTTAAATGTCTGAATATTAATGGCTACAGAAGAATATAAAAACACTCAATATTCCTGCACATGATGCGAATTTCTTTGGTATGACTTCACAAATCTCGACTACTCTTGGCACCATAACAAAATTTTCCCGCGGTTTCTTGAGAAAGTAAACAAAGATGGTGCGAACAATTCTGTGTATAATATTGGTGGTATTTGTGAGTTTTGGTTCCTGTGAAGTTTTCCCTTTATCTCAAGTGTGTAAAACATATGAAAACATTTGTTACTGGCGAGGTGATGGTCATTACGGAGGATGTAATGATGAACTTAATGAAGTACATTTCCGGAGATTTCAAAGGGGGTCGATTCTGGATCTAACTTGTACGAAAGTTCATTTAGTACAAATTGACCAAACCAATTACAATTGTGATTCCTTTTTACGACATGGGTTAAAGGCAGGAACAGCCCTGAAGACAGTTTACCTCAATGGGGATCACTGCGTAAGTGATTGTTTATTGTGTCATTGATGTGTTTTTGTGTGTTGTCTTTACCTAAGAAAGAATTAGTAAAAGAAAGATTAGCAGTGATACTTGTATTATATTAAGAAGTAATTTTGTGTATTATGTATTGCTCTTTTATATTTTTAGGATTTTGAGGATTTCAAACAGTCTACCAAAGACAAAGATTCAACAACTGCCTCACCAAAAATTGTCATGTCATGTCCATCATGCCCCACATGTCCACCATGTTCAAATTCATCTTCACCATCATCAGTCATTATTAGTAAGCAATCAAATCATGTTATTGGTCTTTCAATTGCTGTTTTTATTTTATCAATTGTTTTAATTTCTATTTTAATATTTTGGATACATAACTGTAAATGTAGGAAAACTGTACATCCAAGAAATAGCATTTACACTCCTCCCTCTAATGCCTCAACATTTTCTTTAGATACTTTTAACAGTGATGAAAATGATAGAAATGCAACAGAAAACATTTATGAAGAACCCATTTAATTATTCATATTTCCATATCATTTCTTACAGTCATTGGCTTTGTTATGACATCATTATTTTACATCATCTCATGCATCATCTTGTGCAAAAAACTGGTTAAACAACGTCGTCAACTCCAAACTATCTTATCAGGCTTTTCATACCGTCCATGCCATTCAGAAAGGAGACAAAGAAAGCAACAGGATACTCGTTCTGCAAGTTATGAATCAGCTGTATAATCTCCTTATTTCTCTTTATAGACGCTGTTTGTGCTATTCTGGGATATCTTTTGAAAAAGTATGCCACCCAGATTGAAAACTTTCTTATTAGATGTGTCACAGAGTTTACGCAGTATTATAGAAATCGTTGGATAACACCAAGAGAGGAACAACCCCGTTATCCAAGGCGAAACAGGCGCAGAACACAGAGATATCAAGATTCAAATGAATAAACAGTGAATTCACTCAGACATTATTTCAGTAGATTTTTTTCTTTTCACATTTTCACAAATCAGTATATTGTACATGTAAATTTCAGACATTGTTCTTTCTTTTCTTATTTTGTGGTTTTTTAATTGAACTTGCTTGGAAGCATGTTGTAAACAGACTTGGGTAAAAAAAAAATATATATATGTCAATCAAATGAAAAGTGATCCGGTGATAATGTTTACCTCAGTTGTATTTTATTTTTTTTATTTTTTTCATTTTTATGAAAATCATATATTAAGTTGTAGTCTTCTTTTACAGTGTAATCATGATCAGTTGATATCATTCTCTGTTCAATGATTGTCTATCATGATTAAGATTTTATAATGTCATTATATCATACTTTTAAACTTTCTTTTTCATCTTTAGAAGAAAATTATAAACAGCTTTTCCCCCTGTGATTTTACTTCATCATGAACAGACCAGTTTAATGAATTGTAATATATGTACATTCCATAGAAATATAGTTGTGTTAGATTGTTTACAGTTTTTTCATGTGTTTTAAAATCAAGGTATTAATGTAAGAAAGTATTAGCATCAGTTAAGATATTTTTTTTCATATAACTTTATCATACTTTTTTAAAAAAAAAAAATTATAGCTCAGATAGAAAAATGATAAAGTAAATGTTTCATATTTAATTTATTAATTATATTTGTCTTTCCTCAGGTATCCTAGTTTACTTTTGTATTAGATTGTCCTAGTCACTGTTTTTTTTTTCTTTTGGTTTTCGAGTAGACATTTTTTTTTTATAAATTTATTTGTTATAGTTTATTGTT